TGTGGGGCCATGTGAAGGCGCAAGTCTATGCGGACAAACCGGCGACGGTTGAGCATTTGGAAGCCAACGTTGAACGCGAAATTCTCGCCGTACGCCCAGAAGTTCTCGAAAGAGTGATGCGAAATTGGACTAATCGAATGGCATATCTAAAACGTACCCGCGGTGGCCATATGTCCGAAATCATTTTCAAACACTAAATTAAAAAGAATTTCCTACGAAATAAAGCCGTTTGCCCGATCAAAATGTCATTTCTTCTGTGATTTATTTAAAAAAAAAACCGATTGCTCAAAAAAAAAACACGCCTTACATCCGTATATCCGCGAACGTAGCGAACTAGCCATGCAAGTATAAATTATACACACACTAACGACGAATGGGACTGGCCATCTTTTAGCATGCGTGGTCACCTCTAGGTCCAAAACCTCCATAAAAAATGTTTCAACGTACCGGTATCCTGTCCGTCGACTACATCAGTCGACGTCTCCACCTGTTTAACCATGAAACATCATTCAATTATTCCAAACAATATAACTTAACTTAATGTTACAAGTGTTTTACGTGTAGGGGATTGGGCAAAAGCTAAAATAAAGCCGGACAGGAGATATGGCGAGACAAAGCGACAACCGAATAGTGGCCAAGAAAGGGATGCCGGCCGTGAAGGCATAAGCGCGCAAAATCGTTGTGGAAGGTACAAAGAACGGGAGGATATAGTATCCGACAGTGGATGAAGTCGGGCAGTGGACTAATGAAGTGAAAAGGGCAACATTTTTAAATCAGTCACATTCATTTCAATAAACTGAATTTTGACGTAATTACAAACACAGAATCGAAGCCAATGTACGTTCAGTTTAAAAAGTCACTGTTCGTCCTTGTCATAAAAAACTGTCAATTTGTTTTCAGATCAAACAAACAATTATCCATGAACAGATTGAACATATTATATCCCCGTTTAATACCCCTATGGCAATGAAATCGTTCCGTGTGCCCCGTATTCAGACGCAATTCCTGCAATCCCTGCATGTGGTGCATCGTCAATGTTATCCAAAGGTCATTTCCTCATTACCCTGTCATTATACTTTTCCTTTCTAATCCAACAATGGCTCACTCCACTTTTTGTTCTTTTTTACCACGATTTTTTCAATTATGTGCCTTCAAAATGGACCTTCTCAATATTGCTTTCATAATCCTCTTGATCAAAGTGCATCCTTTAGATCCGTACAATTTGCCAACATTAAGGCTGACACTACAGTAACTTTAGGTAAACATATAGAGATCTGCTGCGACCGTTTCCCTCTACTCGGATGAACAATCGGTCTTTGCACTAATCTATTGTCACTGTGCCTTTCCGACAGCGCATATTTAAAAAAAGGTGCAATTCTGAAAACGAGCGCGTTCCGGCTCAAACAAAAGCAACCAAAAACATGAATGCGAATAAAAGCTACAGATACAGAAACGTTCTAGAAACTTAGTGTCTTTGGTTACACAGTCCCTTACTCGAGCAAAGCAAAGTTTGAGGCAGCGTGCCACTTGACGGAGCATTAACTTTTGTGCAACTGGAGATTGTAGTAAAAAAAAAATAGTCTGAACAGATTACTCACATTGGAACTCCCGCCCACAGTAATAGGTGCAACTTGAGCGGTTAATATACTCTTGTTGATCCTCCTCACTTCATTGATGTCAGGCAGTACGACTTTCTTCAATACTCTTTCGCCTGACCCTTCAAAGTCCTGAACTCGAAGTCCATGTATCCGCTCTCTGATCAGATCCACCGTAACCGGTCGGCATATATTTAATAAATCTGCATTCTTCAATAAAAAATCTTCACTCAATTTACGTAGTTTTTTATTCAAATCTGGATTTTTCATTAAATCTTTTTTATTATACACTTTTACTGTCACGTGTTTCTGCTTATTTGGAAAATCGTTGTTATAAATATTCCTTGACCTTCTCGATACATTTTTAGTAAATATGTCTAAATTGAAGTTGTATACTTTTATAGAATTGTTGTATGAATGTTTCTTCCAGAATGGCTGTAAGTCGCATCTTACGAGGGGTACAGTAGTCTCTGTTACAAGTTTTAAGTCTGAAAAGAAACAAAATACATACATTAAACTACAACTTATTAATCCACGACGACAAATTATTTGATTAATTCGTCAATTCATGCTTTTCAGTATTCGATTTCAATCGGACAGACGCGTATCGTAACTACGTTTCAACTCGGTCAAGAACGAAGCCACAGGTTTACCTGTAACACGCCACTCACCGATTCCTTTCTCGTGATGGTTGTCTTCCCTCGCACTGACTTCCTTACTATGTTCATTGTCACTAATCTCATTCAACTCCCAACATACTGTTGCCGCTGACGAACTTTCTTCCACACAGTTTAATTCACTATTTATATTTGAGTTTCCAGGCTCTGGTTCTAATGAATCCAGTTTTAAATCATTACTTTCAGTATTAGCTTCTCTTGAATCGACTCTGGTTTTATATCCAACAGTCGTCGAAACACTCTCTTTGGTGTTATCAAACTTTAAAACTATTGGAACAACTTGATTTATGTCCAAATCACTTGGTTTATTCACATAAGATGACTTTGCTACATCAATATTTTCACCAGATTCATGATTTTTTAATTTAGTTTCTAATGGTTCGCAAGAATCAGGAATTGAACCAACTGATTTAACCAACTGTGATACCCCCGTTTTATTATCAGAATCGACAGGTTCATTTGTGACATTAGGGTTTGGTTCATCCAAACCATTTGGTCCACTCATATCAACGTATTGGACGACATCAGAGATTTTTTGTTCGTATTGGTTTGAATTTGGTTCAAAACCATAAATTTTATTAAGGCCGTCTTTATTTTCTTGGTTAATGGAACATTGTTCTAGTTGGAAATTATTTTCAATCGTTTGGTTCACATTACTAGACAGGGCCACGTCTTTGTTTTTAGACACGTCTTTCTCTCCTTCAACATAATTTAATTTAGTACCTTGTGCATTTATACTTTGCATAGTTGACAAAAGATGTACATTTATGGCATTCGCTTTAATATTATCAGGTTTATTTTTATATTGCTCCACGACGTTAAGATCGTTACAATATCTTGGTTCAGAAAACCTATTTTCATCAATATCGTAAACATTTTGGCTTGTACATTTATTCAGGCTTTTATTTATAGTATAAGTGTGGTCATGCTCCGACGTCCTCTTAATAGCGGTCGCTCGATTAATAATTTTGTTGATGCCACTTCCCTGTTTTTGAGCAACATATACTTGATTTGTAGCTTCTTTAATACTTTCTTTAGTAGCTCCTCTTTGTTCAATTTTAAGTTTATTTTTAAAACATGTCAATTCTTTGCTCTCTTTGATTAGTTCTTTAACGTACGCAACTTCTTCTATTTTATATTTATCTAATAACAAACTTTTGTTACTAGCTGACCTTTCCTGGGCTGAGACCTGAAAGGAGCTGTGCGGCATATTTGGTTTGATACAATCACTGATATCCCTAGCTTCACCTGAATTGGAATCCTTATCCGTAATGTCTATGATATTTGTTTGGTCGATGACATTATCACCTTTCATGGAAGTATCTATGGCGCCATTATCACCTAACTCAAAATAAAAATCATCATCATCTTCATCGTCGAAAATTATTCTCGCTCTCAAATTTCTCGGATCCAACTGTTCAAGAACAGAAACTGTCTGTCCTGTATCTATTTCTTGATAAACACCATCTATAGCTTGAGTGTTGTCTATCAATTTTGTTGGATTTCCTACGGTTAACTTACTGTTTTCATATTCTTGACTTGTATCAAAAGTTGATACCTTGTCGACATTTTGGTTAATACCTTCTTCAATCGAAACGATGCCTATTGTGGCTCCATTATAGTTTTCATCATAAGTTTTTGCATTTCGATTATCATAAACAGCTACATGTGGTTCTTGTTCAATAACTTCATTACTTTTGTGGTTAGGATTCTCTTCACTGACATGTGTTGAATGTATTTTAGAACCAAAACACGTATTGTTACTTTCCTTGTCCTGTTCAGAGATAGCGTTTTGTTGTGTAATCAACTTTTGTCTGAACCTTACACACATATTTCGCTTTTTCTTCTCCAAACTATACCTTTGCACGTGATCTAACGGGATGGTAGCCAATAAAGAATTCAATTTTTTTTCTTGATCTTCAAGGTATTTCAACTGTTTTTGAATATCATGTCTCATAATTGACAATTCAGAACTCCTTAGCTTTTGGAGTAACTTTCGAATTAAATTACAATTAATTTGAGTATGATCAATTGAATTATCCTCACTAGAATTGACAAATTGTTCAATACCATCTGTATGACCTGTATTCTCCAAACGTTTTCCATCCATGTTATTTTCCAATTCCTTGAACTGTGTACCAAGATCAATGTGCATTCTCTCAGTGGTTAGGTTTTGTTTATGATTAATCTCCTGTTTGTCAACGCAAGTATCTCGGTCTTCCTCGATAACCAAAGGACTCTCCTCGTCGGAATCTCGTGCGAGGTCAATTGTTTCTATGTCTTCCTCTATTAGGATTAAATCATCTTCCGTATCTGTAAGAACAACAAAAAATATTGGTTTAATAGCTTAAGTCGGCTCATTGTCGTCACTGGAATTGGACTTCCATATTAAGTCATTAGGAACTTTACTATTTCGACTGTATAATGTTTACCATAGAAATACAAAAAAATCAGTTAATCCTCCACTGTTATTTATTAGTGGACTTATTGTTTAGTACCCTAATGTGCTGTGTCAAATCATAATCTTTTCCATAATTGTTAAACACTCTTGAAATGTCAAATCTATTAAACTTACTCATAGCATCAGTCCCTTCCGGTGCTTTAATCTTTTCCGTCCCGCTCTTGTCCCGCTGTATTGTTTCTGCGTTCTCGTGTTCCAGTTCGTCCAACTGCAATAATAAATAATAATAATAATAATTATACAATAACAATCCCTATAAAATATGTTCCCTAAAACCTATTTTCAATGTTAAGACTGATAAGATTTGATGACAGGAATCCTTAAATCCCTTTTTATATCCGGCCAATGTAACGTCCCGTCTGTCATCCACGCCAGTACCCACTGTTTTTTTTTAAGCCCCGCACTAGGGAAACCCTATATCGCGGGTGCACGGACACACACATAGACAACCACAAACTCACGAGAGAAATAAATGTAGGTCATACAAATATTTCTTCCGGCCCGGGAATCGAAAAGCAGTTAATGTACATTATGATAGTGTGAGTTTGGCGACAGCGGTTCTGATAGTAATCGAGGTTCAAGGTCCTCCCATTGCTTTTTTCTTCAGTGGGGCAGACGTAGCACTAACAACTCTACAAGTTGAACTGCATCCGTGGCTGAACGGTTACCATGCTGGCCTGCCACACAGAGGTCTCAGGTTCGATTCCCGGGGAAGATAGGCGGAGAAATATTTGTATGGCCTACATTTATTTTTCTCGTGAGTTTGGATGTAATTTGTAGTTGTCTATGTGTGTCCACGGCACCCGCAACACAGGGATTCACTAGTGCGGGGTTATTATTATTATTATTACGAAATTTTGATAATGATTTAGTCGTAGTTTCTAAAACAAAAGGACAGATAAATTCAAATTCTGGAGTGTTAATGTAATTTAAACTTTGCCCAGTTAGGATATCGTTGAAAGTTCAATACCTATTATTGCAAGTCACAACGTTTTCATTTTATATTGAATTTAATACAACGTGCTGCCATCTAGCGACAATAGCTAAAAGACGACGAACGATTAACTCCAATTAACGTTCTCCAAAAAATAGTCAACCATATTGCAGCGATTTAAGGTTTACTTTAGTTTCTTATAACAAAAAATCGATCAAAATTTCATAAAATAATATTTCATGATGACATGAAACACGATCACGAATACTATTACAGTTGCGACTATCAGTTTTGCACTTAACAGTAGCAAAATTTTCGAGGATTTGCGCAGTATAATCGACACGACCATAATGTACAAAGCGAAAATGGCGGACTGAGCTCGAGTATGTGGAACTCCGCGTACTGTTGCCACACGTGTCACGCCTGTTTAAGCACTTCTACCATATTTATTGCTCGAAACAAAGGCACCGTCGCAAACACTATTCTACGAAGTTCCTATCTTTAATAGCAGCCCTGAATAGATCCTGACGCGTTCAATAACTTATAGCCGAAATACTTCACAGCTGCTGATTACTACTTAGTAATCTGTGGCTACCGGCCAGAGTTCAATGACCGAAATGCCGCCTGCATTTAGACGGTGACTGACTCAATGCTTGTTGATTATGACTTGTGTTCACCAAGTGAATAAACGAAAAATTGAGAGATTGTGTAATTGGAGGCCGAAAACAAGTTAACTGATCTGTGGGAGATTCACCATTCTATAGTGCAGCCGCCGAACGAATGTCTTTCATTTCTTGGGAGAAACCTGCTGATCACGAAATTAAAGTAAAAAAAACTCAACTGGAAGGGGTGGGAGGGAGAAGCCCAAATAGCGTCAATCATTCATCATACTCACCGCAACGTTGTGAATTTTTCCTGCTTTCACGAGTTCGCTCCACGACGGCAGCGGTGACGTCATCACGTGCGGAAACCTGCACACGTTTATAAACCATATACATTCAAATCAAAATGTCATCTTTATTTCAAAGGCACCCAAATCACTCCTGAAATCGTCAAATATTCTACTATTTTTTGATATTTTTCACACAACAATGTAAACTCGAAGTCTTGCACCCGTTTTTGTTTTATTTGTTAACTTTTTTCCGGTCCGCACATTTTGTTGTTCGTTAACAATACAACATAATTAATCTAATGTTATAGTTACCTCTACACCCTATCTGTTTGTTTTTATCTTTTATTTGCAACTTGCTATATATTTATCAGTTTTGCCAAGGATACCTCTTTTTCTAATACATATTAGTACATATCTATCTTAACACTCTCAGCGCCACAGAACAAACGATTTTTTTGAAATAGCAATCTATGCGGGCGGCGCGCGTGTCACGCATTTTTTTTTTCACAGCACGTATAATCTTGAGTAACTTATGTAGCACGCTATGTGGGCTGCCGGCGGGACACCTCCAAGCTTTACCAGCAGGCCGCGTGGTACGCCGTGATCTCACCAAAAACAGACGACTGTCACCACTAGAGACGAGATCGATACTTGATCTGGATCAGTTATTAGCAGAAGAGCCAAACAATTGAATGTGTTTATATTGTTGGCTTGCAGATGCAACCTTTGCCTGATCAGGACTAGAAAAATCGAAAGTAAATTTTAATTCCTAATTGCAGTACGCCGGCGGCCCACATGGCCTGCTGGGTAAAATTTGAAAACACATAGTGGTCTATAGTACTAGAGTTTTTGTGGGCGGTCGGCGGCCTACATGGAATACTGGGTAAAATTCGTAAAAAACACATTGTTACTGGTTGTACGAACTAGCGCTAGAAATAAAAATCACTTGTACTGCAGCAAAACGAATTTACTAAAAAAAATTGCGGTTTACAAATGACGCCGTGCGATACGGCTCGCGAGTAGCAGCGGACTGCCTCGCCGTGGTTGGCATTAAAAAAACAAGGTGGAATACAAAAGAAAACAAACTAAATGTACCTTATTTTCTAAAATTAAAACTATATTATTCTAAACCATGAGCGCGTCGCTAACACACATAGTAGCCTGCCGTACTTGGGTTCTTGTGGGCGGCCGGCGGCCCACATGGCCCGCTGGGTAAATTCGAAAATACATGGCGGCCTGCGGCACTTGAGTCTTCGAGGGCTGCCGACGGCCCACATGTTTTGCTGGTTAAAATTCGAAGATACGTAGTGGCCCGCTGGACTTGGGTCTTTGTGAGCTGCCGGCAGCCCATGAGGCTTGCTGGTTAACATTCGAAGATACGTTGGGGCCTGCTGCGGTTGGATTTTTGCGGGCGGCAGGCGGACCACGTGGCGCTAGGAGTGTTAATTTACTTCTAGGATTGTGAATACGTACACAGTTCGGTGAAGTTCACTACACTCACGCTTCAGTCAGCCCAAGGCACCGCATCGTCACAGAGACACTGGTGTGCAAACAACGTTTTTATTCCGCGATTTGCACGTCACCACTGTTTTGCACGTGCACCACGTCAAGTTAAGTACTATCAGCAAATAATACTATCTCATATTCTATTCCTTTCATGAGGGTAGGCAAATCATTAATATAAATCAAAAATAAAGATGAGACCTAAAACTGAACCTTGAGGAACGCCCCTGTTCATTGCCGACACCAACCATGATATTATACTTGTCTCACTGACCCCAACGACCTCGTACCGTTTTGACATCAATCCTGTGGACACTACCAGACAAATACGACTTAAGAAGATCGAGAGAACGGCCCGCTAACCACAATGGCGGAGTTTCATAACCAGAGTATCACAGTGCAGTCCGGTGCACACAGTCAAATGCCTCGGAAATGTCACAGAGTGCACCAATAGCATCATGTTAGTTTTCCCATGCATCAAATATATGTTTCATCAACTCAATATAGGCACTGCGTCGTTTGTCAAGTGAAGTTTGTGTTTGAAACGAAATTGTTTATGAGACATTAAATTACTACTGTAAAATTATGGACTTAGCCAAAAAAGAGTTTTTTTTTTTTTTTTCAAATATTTCACTGAGAGTCGGTATTGGTAAAACACACAATTCGTTAGGGCGCGTTCCCATCGTCGTAGCGTCTTATTTACCGTCGGGCTGCTGTGGTTCTAGATTTTCCCGTCGTCTCGACAATGTGTCGTCGTAACTTTGGAAAAGTCGTGACCGATATTCAATCCTTAAATCAATTCATTTATCAAATTGTTAAAGTTATTAGTTCTTAAGTGTAAGTTGCGTAAATTATTAGATACGTATAAGTATTGGTCAGTAATTATTTTGTTAAACGCCTGATAGCATGTGATGGCAGCGATACATAAATCTGTTAATGGGTTTTATTCGCTGTCTTGTGTTCCTTTTTGTAAACTTTTTAATTGTGAATAAAATAAAATAAAATAATCACGTCGTGTTACACGTGAACAACGTCATTTAAATATACCAGGCGCGACACTTTAAACTACACGACCGTCTGTCGTCACTTCAA